ACAAAGCTGTACAAGAACTTGCAGAATATGATGGATATATTACCACAGAAATATATAAACCAGGATAAACATTTTAAAACTGTATCTTTAAGAAAATGCAAAACTATAATTAGATGTGGTTTCTCAAACGGCCATAAGATGGAGCCAGAAACCTGGGTTGTTTAGTCTGAGTCTCAGAAGAGAGTGTGAGTGTATCTCTGTTTCCTTCTGTTGGAAAGTATTGCCGTTCCTCCATTTTTCCTAATTGATATTACTGGATTTAATGTAAGTCTGCTACTGAACTGTTTTTGACACTGGACTTTGTTATTGAATTATCCCTGGATTGAAAAAACTGACTGATTTACCTGTGAATGACTTTGGATTGCTTGTTTGGACTTTGCTTAACGATTCTGGAAGTAAAAACCTACATTTACTGTACAGTATATCTGTGTGCTGTATGTGTATTATTCAAACACTTCTCTCAAATACGTCTCCCTGTATGCGCTCATTCTCCTAACAGGGAATTACCTCAACACTGGTTATGGGCCCAGACCATACCAGGCTCAGATAACTGAGAGTTAGTGTGAATACACAGTACTGTATACAGACACCTGTTTACTGTTTAATTGTGGTTTACTATCCTGGTAAAGATGGCACAAGTCACTTCAACATGTCTATCACTGATAACCTGGTTGGATGGAACAAACTATGTTTCCTGGTCTATGAAATGCAGTCTAATTCTGTGCAAAGAAGGTTTATGGAATGTAGTTCAAGACCCACCGGATGTAAATGCTTGGAATCCAGAAAATGAGGATGATGCCAAGAAGCTTGCTGACTTTAAACAGAACAACGAACAAGCTCTTTGTATAATTGGAGTAACACTGAGTGACCAGCAGCTAGTCCATATTCATGGAGAAGAGTCTGCTGCTAGGTGTTGGGAGAATTTGAAGAGGATTTATGTTCGTGACAGTGTAGGTGCACACATACATCTTACACGTAAACTGTTTAGAGCACGTCTTCTGAAAGGTGGAGATATGTTAGTTCATTTAAACTTCATGAAAAGAACTTTTCAAGAGCTACATGAAAAGGAACTGATATTTTCAGAGCTGCATCAAGCTTACATCATTCTTTCCTCATTGGATGAAAGTTATGATGACTATGTATCTTCACTGGAAGTCCTGCCCAGAGATAAACTGACATTGACTGACATAACTGGAAGGTTGCTGGAAGAAGCAAGAAGACAGCTGGATAGGGACCAACTGAGGAAGGATCCACCACAAGAAGAGGATTTATCTTCAACTGCCTATACTGTTAGGAAATGTTTTTCTTGTGGGGCTAGGGGACATATAGCTAAATTCTGTAAGAAAGGAAAACAACAGAATACTAGTAAACACCAGAAGGCTAAGAAGAATGTTAGTTTAGCTTTGTCTAGCAATTCAACTGTAAACCATGATTTGTGGGTTGTTGATAGTGGAGCATCACAATGCATTACTAAAGATAGAAACAGGTTTGTAAAGATGTCCACGAGTAAACAACATGTATCATTCCCAAATGGATGGAAGATTAAAGCATCAGATGAAGGTACTGCATATTGTTCTTGTATAAACGAACATTTAACTAAGTTATATGTACCTAAACTAAAATTTAATTTATTATCAGTAAGGGCTTTAGTTAATATTGGTTATGTAGTAACCTTTAGGGGAGATAACTGTATAATAGAGAAAGGGGGTAAAAGTGTTACTACATTAGAGAATGATTTATATGTAATACATGATGATCAGTTGAAGATGGCTAACTCAGTTTATAACTATGTTAAGCCACATGATGAATGTGTACATTTACTGCATAGACATCTAGGGCACATTAATTTCAAAATGCTCAAACAGTTAAATTGTCAGAGGGAGTAAAATTGAAACCCTGTAGCAAGTATTTACACTGTAATGCTTGTAGTCAAGAAAAGAGTAAGGTTCCTCCAGCAAACAGACTAAATGGGTTTAAGACCAAAGAACCTTTAGAGGTTGTTTTTGCTGACATAATTGGTCCTAAAAAACCAAGTTTAGGAGGTGCCTGCTATATTTTGAGTATTATGGACCATTACTCACGATATGGTTTCTGCTATCTTATGAAAAACTAAACAGAAACATTCCAACATTTCTTTAACTGGCTAAGGTTTGCAGAGAGAAAATTGAAAAGTAATTACATTAGTAACTGATAATGGGACTGAATTTGTTAACAAAAGATTCCAAACAATGCTGAAATTGGCTGGTGTTGAGCATAAGTGTTCTGCACCTTACAGACCACAACATAACTCATTTGTAGAACGAAAAGGGCAAACATTACAAGTCATGGCTCGCACTATGTTATCTGATTCAGGTTTACCTGAAACACTGTGGGGTGAAGTCATAATGTGTAGTAACCATGTTTGAAACGATGTAGTAGATACAACAACTAGAGAATTGCCATTCACTCGTTGGCATTTTCTTGCTTATTTTGACTTGCATTCCTAATCTGCATTTTACAGTATTTTTTTGATAGGTTGGACTGTTTCCACAGAGGCCATCTTCCCAGAGACACACAACTGCCAGAGGGACCCTGAGACCACCACCCCGTGAGCCCACAGATACTGTGGTCATAGGGGGCCAAACCAATTATGAGATACAATGCATCTTTCAGGACTCCAACAAATCCACCCCCATTCAATCATAAGTCTCTAGCTGTATCTCAGAGAAAAGAAAATTGATTTATTAGAAGTGGACATGTTGGTGTTGGCTGGATGCAGCAGATACTAAAATACATCATTCATTTCCCCCTTGACCCTGGTCTTCCCCCCACACCCTGGATGTGTATTCTCCAATGGGACACATCCATACCCAAGAGTCATTAATCATGCTCTCCAGTAATTTTCTTGTTCTCTGGGTGATTATCTAGGCACTTAAGGAATGCACTGTTTTCCCCCACTCCCTTTTTCTGGCAGCTAAAAAGACCAAAGGAGTATCTTTTAGTTGACATTCAGCTCCCCTCACTTCTTGAAGGTGACCTGTACAACACAAAAAGAAAACAAATTTATTACAGGTATAGAACTTAGGGTTGTGAACACCCCCCACAAGCCCCAGATTTGGTTGGGTTTTCTGCATGGAACCTCATCACAAGGCGATCATCTTGGACGTTCCTACTCTTTACCCAAGATGCCTCTGATAAAGGGTAGCCCTTCCACTTGATCACTCCTGAATTCACGGATGTGTTCTTTGATGGGTCACCCTCCCTGCTTTAGGTTGCTGAGTTGATCTTCTGCATGCAGGTCATCCTCTGCCTCCTCAAATCTGGCCTCCAGCAGTCATCGGAAGTCGTCTGCATCATGAAGTTGGGGGCCCCTTCTCTTGTGGAAGGTTGCTAGCCATCCTCTTGCTTGTCCCTCCAGCACCTCAGAAATGGCATTCACCATGGCTCTAGGGGAGGGGTAGAGGTGTCCATAAAGTTCTAGGTGGATCTCAGCTGAGTCAAGGAATAGAGCTAGCTGGTCTGGGTCCCCATTAAATTTCCCCCTGAACCGGGGCAGTTCCTAGGGGTCTGCTCTGCCCTCTTCCTGTTGCCCTCTGTAAATCTGTGCTTGAGGTGGCTGACCTTTCTCCCTGGCTCTAGTTCACGCAGAAGGAGGAAAGACCTCCCTGTTGCGTGGGGGAGGCACTGGTTGCTGCTGTGGGCTGTTTCTTCTTCTGCTGGGTAGAGGAGGAGGACTGTA